ATTCAAAAGCAGACAGATTAATAGAACATAAATCAAAGACCGTCGTAGTATTTCAATTAAGATAATGAACTATTGAACAAACAGACGTAGGACTTAATTTCATATGGCGGCATAAAATTACCGTCGTTGTATAAACATTCTAACGTCTAGATGAGATAAAACCGTCGTAAATTTTAATGAAGAAGTGAAAAAACTCGATTGAAATATGCATTCTTTTCTAGAAATTGTGCACCACAAATTTCAGTGAAATAGACAGAGAGAGGGAGAGTGTGTGCGTGAGTAAACTTAAAACAAAACAGCCGTCTCCGAAATTTAAGCCGTCATATTAATTCTATCTAGACGTCTGATTTATGCAAAAACCAATGTGCTATTCTTTTTGAAACGGCGGTAAATAAAAACCGTCTTGGTGTTTATTTTATAACGTCGGTTATTTAAATGTGAGACGTCTATACCAAAATAGAACACTCTGTTTTTCAAATTTAGAACAAAGTTAGTGAGACTTACAATTAATTTTGCCTTCTCTGCAACCTTTGGATCAGGGATGTTTCCCGTTTTATCTTCTCCTGCCTTCTTCCATAGAAGAGCTTGATTGATTTCTTCACCGGGCATGTTTTCTTCTAATTCATCCTCCAAACCTACATACCCTTTTTCGAGACAACCTATGGTTGTACTCCAATTTCTCCCTCCTCTGTTTCTACCCAGAATGCACAGCCTCAAAATCTATGGATAACCTTGAAGCTACAAAGGCATCCCATTGCGATTTCTCTATGAACTTATAAGGCTCAGGGGGTTCTTTTAACTTCTCCTTGTCATGTGCGAATGGAAGGATATACTGCCTAGTTACGTTATACTTGAAATCCTTCCATTTTTTGGCGGCAGACGACAGGACCATCTTCTTACACCCTTCCCCAATAAAATAAGCCTTTTGGCGGCAGACAACAGGACCATCTTCTTACACCCTTCCCCAATAACATAAGCCATTTGAACAGCTTCCCAAATCTGCTCCTTCAAGTCCTTGGGCAATTGAGTCCATTTCTTGTCCACAAGAGGGACTCTAGTGCGTGCCAAAACACCAATGTAAGTCTGCATCTCAATAGCAGCCTTGCCATGTGGTCTGCCCCTTTTATTGAACTCAACCACAGGCTTAATCTTCTGAATTTTCCTCTTCACAACACGGCTCATTATGTTGATACCGCAGGTGAATTTTGGTTCCTCAACAAATGTGGTTGTGCTGGGGTCTTTATCGGAAGTTGAAGAAAATCTCATCCTCTTCGAGGATTTGCTTTGAACTGATTTGCCTTCATCCATTTCAACCTTTGAAACTGATTTGCCTTCATCCCTTTGAGCAGTGGCGGATCCAGGAAATTTCCTTCCAGGGGTCAACATCTAAAGGTTAAAAAAAATTATACAAAATATACCCATACAAATGAAACGATAATATTATAATTCATAATTAATAGAAAAAAACCACATTACAATTGTCCACAACGAATTTTCATATTCTGAAAACGTAGCATTATAATTTCATTATCAAAGAATTTGTTCTATTTTTCCTGTAGTGTAAACACGGTAATCATCGCGCCCAACTATTTGTTAGGAAATCTGTTTCCTCTTAATGGTATAATCATGTCCAACCTGGTTAATCAAATAGGAACTAAAGTCTAGCAATAGTCCTCGCACAAAACGTTTTTGTTACATTTACGTTGTTGTCAGCATCTAATTGACTTCCTCTTTCTCTCCCACATATATATATTTACCGTCACCAACTCCATTAAGAGCATCCGCAATGATGCTCTCTATTTCTTAGCTAAAATTTAGCTAAAAATATAAGAAAGCTATTTTAGGAGCTCTCTAAAAAATTTCAACTCCAACCATACTCCCTAATTTGGAGAGTCATAAATGCTATAACTCTTTTTTGATTGGTCCATCTCTATTAAAAAATTTAAAAAAAAATAATTAGCATTAAATAAAGGTTTGAAATACTCATTAAATAAGGCAGCATTAAATTATAGGGAGCCACTAGAAGTACTTTCTCTCTCCTCAGATTTAGGAGCTCCTAGATGACTCCCTATTTTAGGAGGTGAATAGGGAGCATGGTTGGAGTTGCATTTTTACAATTCCTCCCTAAAATTTGTCTAAGGAGGTGGTTTAGAGAGCCCATTGCGGATGCTCTAATTACATGCAAAAACTCAAAGAACACGATTAATCAAAATCCAATATACTATCACAATGCAAATAATGAACCACAAAGCTTGTACTCAACATGTTGCCGTCTTAGTCTTTCCGTTCGCCTCCCATCTCGGCATTCTTCCCCACTTTATCCTAAAAAATTTCAACTCCAACCATACTCCCTAATTTGGAGAGTCATAAATGCTATAACTCTTTTTTGATTGGTCCATCTCTATTAAAAAATTTAAAAAAAAATAATTAGCATTAAATAAAGGTTTGAAATACTCATTAAATAAGGCAGCATTAAATTATAGGGAGCCACTAGAAGTACTTTCTCTCTCCTCAGATTTAGGAGCTCCTAGATGACTCCCTATTTTAGGAGGTGAATAGGGAGCATGGTTGGAGTTGCATTTTTACAATTCCTCCCTAAAATTTGTCTAAGGAGGTGGTTTAGAGAGCCCATTGCGGATGCTCTAATTACATGCAAAAACTCAAAGAACACGATTAATCAAAATCCAATATACTATCACAATGCAAATAATGAACCACAAAGCTTGTACTCAACATGTTGCCGTCTTAGTCTTTCCGTTCGCCTCCCATCTCGGCATTCTTCCCCACTTTATCCGTATAATCTCAGCCATGGCTCCTGACGTGAAGTTCTCATTCTTGAGCTTTGCTGTTGAACTGGGTGAAGGTTGGTTTAGTTGGGGGGTTGGGGATTTAGGGTTGAGAAGTTGAGAAGTGAAATGAGTTAAAACTTATTTTGGGGGTGGGAATTATCGGGCAACAACAGAGCAGCAATTGCTGCCTTTTTTTTTATGTTTTTTTTTTATAAAATAAACTTGTGCCAAAACGACGTCGTTTTAGCCAGGTTTTTTTTAAAAAAAAAAACTTAAGTGCAACGACGTCGTTTTGATGTCCAGCTTATAAAAAAAAAAGACTCGCGCGGGCTGCGCGCAAGGCTGCGCTGCGCAAAAGCTCCAGCAGCACACAGGTTGCCCCTTTAAAGCTTGTACTCAACATGTTGCCGTCTTAGTCTTTCCGTTCGCCTCCCATCTCGGCATTCTTCCCCACTTTATCCGTATAATCTCAGCCATGGCTCCTGACGTGAAGTTCTCATTCTTGAGCTTTGCTGTTGAACTGGGTGAAGGTTGGTTTAGTTGGGGGGTTGGGGATTTAGGGTTGAGAAGTTGAGAAGTGAAATGAGTTAAAACTTATTTTGGGGGTGGGAATTATCGGGCAACAACAGAGCAGCAATTGCTGCCTTTTTTTTTATGTTTTTTTTTTATAAAATAAACTTGTGCCAAAACGACGTCGTTTTAGCCAGGTTTTTTTTAAAAAAAAAAACTTAAGTGCAACGACGTCGTTTTGATGTCCAGCTTATAAAAAAAAAAGACTCGCGCGGGCTGCGCGCAAGGCTGCGCTGCGCAAAAGCTCCAGCAGCACACAGGTTGCCCCTTTGGGCATTTCGTCGAACACCTTGCGAGGGTCAAGTTTGGCTGCTTTAATGGAGGATTTCAGAGGTTGCAGGGGTCAATTGACCACCCTTGCTCCTCTGTGGATCCGCCCCTGCCTTTGAGCCTTTGAAACTGATTTGGCTTCATCCCTTTGAGTCTCTAAATATAGGGGTCACGAGGGGTATGAGACAACTCATCAAACAAATTATTATCATAAGTCATATGATCAGAAGCACCAGTGTCAATTATCCAAGTATTAGAACCCATACCTGGCATGGTATCGGAAGCACACAGATTTGCAGATGGGGCCGGAGGACGGGCCTCATCTTGAGTCATAGTGCAGGCAGCCTTGGGACCGTACGTACGAGCTTTGAAGTCAGCAAACCAATCAGGATAACCATGTTTCTTAAAGCACTTCTCAGAGTAATGATTATCGTTACAATGACGACACTTACAAGGACCTTCAAATGTACGAGAACCATTGGCAGAGATGGGTGTGGAAGACGGTGGGCGACCGGTCGTGTCCTGTTGAGCGACCGGTAGATTACGAGAAGGATCCACTTTTAGAGCCAATGCACCTCCCCCAACCATAGTAGACTGACGAGTGTCTTCTTCCATGACCATGCATAGGCTTCTAGAGGAGGCGGAACAGGATTGAGGGAAAGGATCCGGCTATGAACAGTATCATATGGTGGATCAAGTCCACCAAGAAAGTCATAAACTCGATCGGCTTCAATTTCTTTCAAACAACGAGCGCCATCAGCATAACAACTAAACTCATTGGGATCGTTCATGACGTAAATGTGTATACACCACGTCGGTTATTCAGACTAAGAACCGACGTGGTTTAAAAATTACAATGTTAAACACAAAAGACAACTGTCATCTTACTGAGATGTGATACAGGAAAAACGACAGTTCTTTCTCCCACAAGACGACGGTTTTATCTTGTTTCCGACGTATTAATTGTCACACCATGACGGTTATTAACCACCGTCGTGGTGTGTCGATTCTATCGTCGCACACAAGATAGGACTGTCGTCTTTTTACGTCGTGAGAGTGATGGACTAATGAATTTAATCAAACCAGTGAAAGATTTCCTCATTTTAACAGAATCTTGTGTCGATTCTATCGTCTCAAACAAGATAGAATTGTCGTCTTTTGACGTCGTGAGAGTGATGAACTAATGAATTTAATCAAACCAGTGAAAGATTTCCTCATTTTGATGGAATCTTATTTCCAGACTCATTCTGTCAAATGAAAGAGAAAAAAAAGAAAAGAGATTGAGAAAAAACCTTTGGCGTGCAAAGAAAGTTTCCTTCCGATGTAAGAAAATGGTGATTTGGAGACGAAGACGATGACGAGATTCAGACGATGATGCTTACGAAGCTGCTTTTCGGAAATGAGAGGGAAACTGAGAGATTTTATCGGTGAGAGAGAGCGTAGAACATTAGGTCAGGTGACGAAATGTTATATATTTTCCTAGATTTCAATACAACGATGGTTTTATTAAAAACCGCCCTAGTATTTAGTTATAACGACGGAAAATAAGTAGGAACCGACGTGGTTATCACTAAAGCCAAACGACTTTTGGAATTTCGACGTGGTTATGACGGCGCTTGTTTATCTTAACCGACATTGTCCTTTGAAATTCAACGGCCATTCCTTTTAAGAAACCGACGTGGTTACTTTGTTTTTCGAAAACGATGTCGTTCTCTTGGTATTAGACAACAAAAGTTTACTTTTGCAGAAGTGGAATTACATGTTACCCCTTATGCATAACCGACGTTGTTGATTTTAAAAGTCGTTGGCCTTAGTTTACGGGATGACGTGGTTAATTATATTTATACGTCTCCAATTGTTAAAAAACGACGTCGATTAGTTAAATATGACGTCGCTACTTGTAATAGAACGGACATGGATATTTACGATAATTTGTTTAAATATGATTTTTTTCACGAGTTTTTAAACTCTTAGTTTTCAATTAGGGTTTCAACTTCTTCTTTTCCAAAGTAGGAAAAAGAACATTTCATATTTCAATTAGGGTATCTGAAAGACAAATGTGGACACTTTAGCTTCTTATCCATTTGAAATCCAAAGTGTCCATACATTTCAGATTTCAAATGGATAGAAGCCAAAGTGTCCATATAAATCTGAAGTGTCCATACCTTCCGACGTCACTTTGGTAAGATCAGGATCCAGAGATCTCACTGGTGAGATTTCATACCTCTTGCGAGCTAATTTTAATTTTCATGTGACGACGGTTTTCTTGGAGCAATAAAAATAAGAGTTAAGTGGTAGTGTTCGCAGTCCTTAATCTCAATTTTCTTATTTCCTTGTTTAATTTTGATTTTTCTTTTCTCTCTAACAGAGAAGGCAGACGTATAAAAAAAAAATTAGCAAACTGTTGGAGCGAAAAAAAAACATAATCTTACAAAGCAATAAAAATTAAGACATCGGTTTACAAAGAAGGCAGACGTATAAGTTGAATAAATACGACGGTAATTGAACAAACCGATGTGGTTATGACTAAATATTGTATGACGTATAAGAAATAGACGTCGGCAAATTACGACGTGGGAATCTTATTTTAACGTTCCTAGAAACCGACGTGGTTATTTAATAAAAAATGGACGTGGGTATTGAATAAAAAACCGGCGTGGTTATTGACCAACAAACCGACGTGGTTATTGAATAAATAACCACCGTGGTTTTGTACAATTAGACGGCGGTATTTATAGACAGACCGCTATGGTTTTTGAAGATTTATTATATAAATTGGGCACTTTCTTTCAGTTTCAGTTTTCATTTTTGTATAAATATGATTTTTTTCATGCATTTTTTAACTCTCAGTTTTCAATTAGGGTTCCAACTTCTTCTTGCCCTTGGCTCAGTCTCATCAACTTCTAAAAAATTGTCTTTCTGAAAGCAAATGTGGACACTTTATTTTATTGATTCAATAGGTGATCTATGTTTTTAGTTGCGTTTTCTGCTTTATTTCACTCAATAGGGGATTTCTTTGTATAAATTTATTTACAGTAATTGTCTTTGGTTTGCAGAATGATTCCTCACAAGACCAAGCATGGTGCAGCCGCACTTGCTCGTTTGAAGGCATACGAGGGTGTTCCACCTCCTAATGATAAGATAAAGAGGATGGTCATTCCTGATGCTCTCAAGTGAGCTTTTCACACTCATTTGTTGATTTTGGAAATTATCTTATTCCTGTACACAAGTACTGTTTGTTGGGCAAGCTTTCATCTTATTCCTGTACTTACAAATAGTCACTAATGAATTTATCTGTGGCTGTGCAGGAGCTTGAGAACAAGAGGAAGGAGAGGGCCCAGCTTACATACGAGAGGAAGAAACAGTTGAACAAGCTGAGGGTGAAGGCAAAAAAGGTTGCCGAGGAGAAACACAACCACGATGCATTGGGTCCTCAGCTAGTATTTGCCTTTTAAATATTGCTCCTATTAAATATTGATCAGCAGAGATTTGCCTTTTAAGACAAAAATGTTGTTGAGGATTGACTTGAGAATTAAATTTTATTTTGTGTTAAGATACTTGGTTGTTCCTTGTAATGGTTTTAGGTATTTTGGCAGTAGTTCTTTCTGATAGATATTAAGAAAGATATTACCAAAATAAATTAAAAAATTAATTTTAAAAAGCAATAAAAATAAGACGGCGGTTTACAGAGAAGGCAGACATATAAATAGAAAAAAGATTACGGTAATTTGAACTTAGGACGTGGTAAATAAATACGACAGTAGTGTTGTAGGTACAGTCGTAGTACACTCCAAAATAATAAGTCGATAAATTAATCTCTCGCATCATGGTACATTGATTTAACACGTCGTTGTTTTGTAATATACTGACGTGGATTCTATTATATTATACGACGTGGACTAAGAACAGTTGGTCGTGTTTAGTTAGAAGTTAACACGGCAGGTTTTTTGGTGAACTGTCGTCTTTATTTTCTACGTCAATGGATTCATACCTGCTGTTGTTGTTTTTTGGTCAGACTTTAACTCTGAAGAAAACCTTTTTAATAAGACGACGCTTTTTTATTTGTGTGCGTCGTTTAAAAAAAAAATTCAACAGTACCTCCATTTTTTAGTTGTTTAAGTCACTTATCCACAACGGTTTTTTGTAACCGTCATCTTTTTAAACACAAAGACGGTTTTTTGTTGTACCGTCGTCTTTTTCTGGTCGTCTTTTTCACTTTTTATAGTAGTGGATTAAAAATAGAATTGGATTGAGGTTAAAACAATGAGAAAACTAGTTAGGGATTCGATGTTCACCACTAATCTTCTTCCTTAAGCAAACGACATACACAATGCTACAAAACAGATTTTAGATTCTCATGTTTGTAAACCTAAAGGCATGATATCTACTCTTTAAATTATTGATTTCCCCAAGCAACAAGTTTGGCATGGGTACCTACGCTAACTCTTTTCATTCTTAAAGTGTTTAGCATGGTATCTTCTAAGTTGCACTTTAAGAATGCATAACACAATGGAAATCGACAAACACACAACTCCTAGAACATGGTATCTATTCTAGTTATTCATGATGATTAATTTCAAGAACTTATAACTAACTCTTTTGTTACTCTCTCACAGGCACAAGACTCAGTCATCTAAATTTACCTAGTAACAAACTCAATACACAACATGCATATGGTGATCAAGCATAACATAACGTATGTAAAGAGTAAAATATAGTCTGAAATTAATCAATTAAGCATCAAAAAAGTAGTTTACAACAACGGCATATCGAATCCTTTTAGAAACATGATTAGGGCTTCAATCGAGCCCTAACTAAAGTACTTAGTTACCCATAATTTAAATAGACAGCAAGAACATACAAAACAAAAAATAAAAAGAGGAAGAAGATAGCTCTTTGATGATGTGTTGGTCAGCCAAAGTGATTGGATGACGCCTTGACGTTCCTCCTTGCTTCCTAAGCCTTTCAGACCTTGGAACCTTGAAGGATGGGGGAGAATGGGATGGTGTGGCTGCCCTCTTCTTCTCCTTTCTTTTTTCTCAAAAACGTTTTTTGCTCCTTGTATTCTCCACTTTTCTGAAACCCTACATATTTTTTATTTAGACATATAAACCCTTGGAAAATAGAAATATTCCTCATTGGCCCAATTGATGTGATTTGGGCCTCAAAAGATTGTAGATTCCCGCAGCCCGAACTACCTGTACTAAAACCACCATAACTTCCTCCAGAAAAGTTATATTCACGAACCGTAAAATTCCCCAGAAAATAGACATCTGTAGCTTCCAAGCATATGTGGCTCAGCTTCTGGTTCTTCCTGAGTCAGTACAGTATAATCTGTGAACTTGATTGATCTACACAGGCCTTTCAAACTCATCTTTCTCTTTTTAGCTCATTTTCCACCATTTTCTTGTGATTACCAAAACAAGTAACAAAAGAATGTAAAACCTATATAAAAGTGTAAAACAAAGGTGTAAACACAGAGAAATATCATAGATAAATGTCGAATTTATGAGCACATCAATGTTGTCTAAAATCGTCAAATTTTCTTTTAGATTGTTTATTATACAATAAACCCAATCAATAACCCATTGTGTAAGCCTAAATACCCATTTAACAAAAATCGATCTTTAGTCTAAGATGATGTTGGACTGAGATCCTCAAATTTACTTCTGTTTTCTTCCAAAAAGAAAAAGAAAAATCCATGTTTTCCTTGAAAGACACTGGGCATATAATAATTTCGATAAATACCTAAAGAAAGAGAGAAAAAAGAAAAGCAAAGAAGAAATTAAGAGGAAGATGAAGATTTGAAAAAATCAAGTTAGTTTTTCACCCATCTAACAAGATATCCTAAGTTTTCCCCATCTTTGGCTTCGTTCTTCTGCAACTTTCTGAAGGAACAACACTGAAGCCAATATAAGGGGTGGACACGGCTACATGATGAAGATAAGGAAGTTTCTTGGATGGTGTTAATGCCAGTATAAAACAAAACGTTAATTCTGTAACACCCCATCCCAAATAATTAGTTAATTACTTAATTAATTGTGAAATTACATTTTTGTCCTTGTGAGTGGGGGCACTTTAGTCAGTTTTTGTTTCGGAGAGATTTTGGAGAATTGAGTAGCACCATTGTGTAGAGCTAGTGAATACGAGTCCGTAGACATGCAGCACACTCAATTTCGATTTAAAACGAAGAAGTTATGATCTACAAAAGTGCAGTGGCACAACCGTAATTTTTGCGAAGTCAGATTTTAAAAAACTGGAACAGTTTTCTTCTCTCTCATTTCTCTCTCTCTCTCTCTCTCTCTCTCTCTCTCTCTCTCGCATATAACAAGCCAAAACTTTGGCCGGCAATTTCTTCGCCGTTCGGCTACCGTTTCCGGCGAAATTGTTCTCAAAAGTTTCGTATCGACGTCCCCTACTTAACCTAGCCCTTTTCGCAGCTTGAAAACCCAAAGATTTTGGACAGGAACGACTAGAAGTGTTGGTGGTTTTCGAAGTTTCTAATGCTGTTTCTTGCGACTCCGGCCACGGAATCCGACGAGTGAGGTATGAAACTTCACTTACATTTTGTGCTCTACCTATTTTTGAAATTGGTTTCGGTTAATTTTGGGAGTTTGAGAGAGTGGGTTAAAAAACCTATAATTGTCGACAATTTGATGGTTTTTTGGCCACTTCCCAGCCAAATTGGAGGTCGGTGCAGTTATAAGAGATGCTCCTCTAGTTGTGCTTGATCCATTGGTATAGGTTTTGTCCGTCTTGGTTTAGATTTTCCATTACTATAATTTTCTCAAGGCACTCAATCGGTGGTGGCGCGTGGTGACACGTGCACCTTGTGTCTATAATTTGTTTTCAGACCTAGAATGATCCCCACGTCATCTTGAGCACAACGGTATGCTTGGATTTGAATTTGGTTATCGTTTAACTATAGAATGAATATCGCGCCTATTATGTGATATTTGGGTTCGATAGTTTTGACCGTTCGATCAGTTCCAATTTCAAGTACATTATTCCATGTACCTCTAGGATCATGTAGGAACTTGTAGATCGAGAATCAGAGTCGTGGTTACTCTGAATCAATGATTCTAAGTAGGAGAAACGATCCCCATCCGATCGTGCAATTGGCTTAGATCCGACCGCTCGATCGAGACCAAATCTTTGGAACTTGATCAGTAGACTTTGTTGGACCTATAGGAACTTTCAGATCGAAAATCAAAGGTCGTGGGCCCCGCGAGCCCGATTGACCAATATGGAAAGTTTGACCATTCGATTGACCATGAGTCTTCCAAGACCGTCTCATCCTTCAGGAAGTGCTAGAATGACCCTATAAACCTTCTTAAGGGTTGGGCACACTTTGAGACCCGGGAACTAGAGTTTTCAGTTAAAGTTTGTTGTTGGGTACGTTAATTAATTAAGTCCACTTATTCTCTCAAATAGGTACCTTGGCACAATGTATCACTCAGGATGAACTCGCTCACAGTTAAGCTAGATTTGGACTTGTTGTGAGTGGACTTTTTTTTCAAATGAATATTATTTTCATATTGGCAAGTATATGCATAACTGTGTTTTGGCCGGGTTTGAAATGTGATTTGATTGGAAATTGGTTTATTTGGGATTAATGAGATAAAGGGATTTCCAGGGATTATTATTTATTTATTATTATTATTATTATTATTAAAGTATATGGATTTGGGTTTTGGACTATGGTGATGTTGGATTTGGGATTTTGGTTATGGTTATGAAATTGGATATATTTTGGGATATGGGATTTATGTGCTTACACACCATTTGTTGTACCTTCCCCTGGTTTGTTATGGAAAAGATGATGGAATTATGGAAAAGAATTAAAGTTGGTCTTTGGGACCCATCAGGGCACACATACACTTTTTGGGAGGTGTGTTAAAAAATGTTAGTCTATGCGTATGACTGGATTCAACAACACGTGTGATGCAGGTCCCAGCGTGCGTGCTGGGGAGCAATAGTCCCCCGGTTGGACTGCTCATCCCTAGCCACATGTATGATGCAGGATCCCGACATGTGGTTGAGAACAAACAATCCCCGAGTTGGATTGTTTCCTTGGTACATATCTTGTTGTGGTGAATATGTGTACGTGTCTATATGTATATCTATATATGTATATGTATACGGGTATATGTGGATTTATTTCCAGGTTGAGGTTTCTTGGACATGTGCATTGAGAGTACTCTGCACAGGTATGAACATTTGAAATGAATTTCAGAATTGAGATGAGATATTTGGAAATTACTTGGCTTATTATATTTTTACAAGGGTATAGTTACGGGGAAAAGGATTTTGGGTTTTGATGATTATATTTCATATTAATGGGTTTACTTTGTTAGTGTTGAATTTACAGTTTTACAATAAGGATTAAATTAACAAGTTTACATTATTTTATAAAATGGAGGTGTTATTTATGTTGAATATAAATGGTGTTTAA